CTCAGGCCCAACTTTTTTTTTTTTCTGGTTCAGGTCCTTTGTTTCCTTAATGACTTGCTTCCTTCTTATCTACCTCCCTGAAGGGATCTCATAGATAAGTTTCCTGGCTTTTGTCCTCTCTGCCTGCTTCATCTTTAGGTTATGGCGGCTTCAGCCTAGTCTCACAGATCCCAGTTTATGAGTTCACAGATTATTTCAAGAGCAAAAAGGACACAGGTCAGGATAAAGTTTTCCTTGAGCTCATCTTGATCTTTAGTGACTTGATGGATGCATCCAAATTATTTTCTTGTCTTCTTCTGGGGCTTTTCTCCAACTTGCCAGTCTAGCCTATAGTTGATAGTCTCCCAACCTGTGAGAGATTGTGGGGAGGTCGGGAAAAGAATTTAAAAGCTTAAGGCTGTAGTTTGAGAAGAAGCTTATAAGACAGTGGTAAACATCTCTTTTCTTAGTAAGAGGCTTGAACAAGGTGGTGATCCATCAGATCCCAATACTCTTGATGGTGGACTAACTTCATGGATTCATTTCATGCCTGGCTTTGGCCGTGCCACTGCTTTAACCATTCTCTCCTTGTGATGGAGAAAGGAGGACTGTGGACCTGTAGGAGCTCTCAGTACAACCTGTATGAGTTGAATGTGGGTGACAATACAAGATGTTAATTCGGTTTCTAACCCAATGGCCATTTCTTGAAGGCAGTGCTAGGAAACCTCTGAGGAGAGATTGTAGGGAGACAGAAAGAGTGAAGGGAGGAATGTTTGATGTAAACAACCAAGAGATAGGAGGGAGCCTATCCTTTAAATGGCAACCATGTCCCAATAACAAGAAATGGTTCAAAACATTCTGAGAGTCTTTGCCTTAATGGACTCTCTTCACCTTGAAAAGAGTCAGACAAATAAATAAAAGGTCCTTAACTTGTTGTCCCATTCTTTCTGTAAAGTATGAGAGAAAGAACCGTTGGGGATTAATTAGTATGATGGAATATCCAACCACAATGTAGTGGCTGGATTTCAACAACATACTGAATGTGGCTATGGAATTAGCCCATTCTCAGTGGACGCTGAGTCATAAGTGCTCCAGATGAGGGGTTTGTGCTGAACACAAAAACACTTAAGATGTTTAAGAACACTTAAAACTAAACATGCTTAGTGTCTTGTTTTAAATGCGGCTGCCAACTGTTTAGCAGCTTCAAGAATGAATTTAGTGTGTCTAACTGCTGTACCTGCATCAACCAACACTTGTTAATTTACAAAGCATAGCAGTCAATGGGAGTTTGATTGATTTGCTTC